ATTACAAAAAAAAACTCTTTCAAGCGATGGGCGTAAAAAGTTTGGTTATAATAGAACGTTAAACAGTATAATCCAATTTTTCAACAGAAGTAACAAAAAAATAAAAAACGTAAAACCATCATTTTAAAAGCAACATAGTTTCGAATATTGTGTCCAAATTTCGAGACATTTTGTCGGTAAATAACAGTTCCTAGGTTTTGGTGCACCGATAAAACAGCCTTAAATAAAAGCTAGAGCATGTTACCACACCATTTATACATAAAAAAATGGCCTATGTCCTCGCTAGGATATACACGCACCGTAGTATTAAGTTTAACCAACTTAAACGTATTTACAATAGAATTTTAATTTTTTGAATAGCCCGGATTTACATCACGAATTTGTATAGGCCGTTAATATATAGTTTTACCCTAATTTTGCTATAAACATATAATTAGAGAGTTTACAATTACTTTTCTAGTACGTAAATCAACATTATTAATGATTAACCACTATTCAACAAGCACTAGTTTTAGAAGATGAAATAAGTAATATGAAACAAATTTGACACATCAAGAGAAATTCATCTTGCATTACTTCCGGTTAAAATTAGAATTTTTTATTAGATTATTGAATTCAATTAACCTTGAAAATTTTACTGAGGTATCTTGAAAAAACTACTAGTATAATAAGATTATTATCTTTGTGCAATTTGATTAAACAATAAAATTTTGGAGCTATATAGGTAGATATAGATAAAGATAAAGTTTATAATTAAATATTTAAATTTGTCAGATGGTTTGATTATACTTTTATGATTAGGTGTTGATTTTATAGTTTGAATATATATACTTTCCTTAAGATATTTACGTCTTTGATATTCATCTCGTTTTAAAAATTAATGGTTTTAGTGTTATTATCTCTCTGAGTTAAAATCATAGCCTTTAAAAACCCATGTAAATATGTTGTCATTTTTTATTTTGATATATTTTTTTAAAGCTCAGCTAAGTGGTCACCTAGCCAGCAGCAAATGTGTGTGATGTAACTTTCACCGAACTATAATATACTATATTTTATCTTAAAAATTTAAAGACTAATTACGATGGGAGGGAAACTAGGATTACTTTTCGCACCTAGTGTGCGAAGGTACTTCGTAATGTTTTGGTTTAAAATTTTGGTGCAGAATTACAGCCACATTTGAATTAGCTTAATGAATTTTTTTAATATCATTAGTGATTACTAAATAAATAAACAGTTTATAAAAAAAATATAATTAAATATACAATAAGATTTACACTGTGTAAACATGGATGATGACAAAGAGCGATGAAGAACGTTTAATATGCTTTGAACGTAAAATCCTCCGGCATATCTATGGAGGAGTATAGGAGGGCGGATTATGGCGTAGACGCTATAATTTCGAACTTTGCCGCCTGTATGACAAACCTGATATTATTAGGTCCATCAAAATAAACCGGCTGCGGTGCTTAGGTCACATAGAGAGAAAAACATATTAAATAAAATATATAAGAGAGCCGCCAAAACATAATTATAACCAAAGAATAGATGGGGTGAGAAGGAGAGGCAGATCCAGAGCACGATTTAAGGATCAGGTGGAGGAAGACTTAAGACCTAAGAGTACAAAACTGGAAAGCCAAGGCGAAGAATAGGAGATAATGGAGACTTATCCTTGAGCAGGCCAAGACCCACCATGGGTTGTGGAGCCAATGATGATGATGATGTTCGTGTAATAGGTAACAGTAAAATTATTTACAGAATGAAACATGCAACATATGTTGCAAGATTTTGAACGTATGTTTTTCGTTTCTCATATTTCATTTTCATCACCTTCAGAATCTGAACTGTTATCTCCAATGTTAATTATTATAGCGTTGTCCACGACAATAAAAAATGAGCGTTCTAAATTAGGAAGTTATTGTGTACCTATACATTTAGTAAATATTGTATTATTCATTTTACCGTGATAATCCTGTAGTCAAGGATTTGGAACAAAATAACAAAATGATGTCTGAAATAAAACCTTTTGCCGAATCGGCATGAACTACAATAAATCTTTTTCCACCATAACCACCTGGTTAACGTATACTTCTGCTGTTGTCACCCTGCCATGACATCATTTTATTTCCCTTTGAAAAATCCAACATTTTGTCTAAAAATACAACTTCTCGTGGATATCTATGAGACATCATTCTGTCTCCGGCTTCTATATAACATGTAGCTTCTCCATTTTTAAAAATTTTAAAGTGTTTGTTTGTCTCTGTGTATTGTATTGTTATGTCCAAATTTACATGTATGACATTCTGCTCATGTGTGATAGGCCACAACTGACGAAATGCCCCTGAGGATGATCTATTGATCGATAGTACTTGGGCAAGATTTAATTAATTACTGTGTTCGATATTTGCCTTGTATACCATCAAAGTTCGATATATATATATATATATATATATTAATATATATATATATATATATATATTATATATAGTAGTTTTGAGTTTCTTGAACCCAAGAAACATTAAATTTATATTATATATATATATATATATATATATATATATATATATATATATATATATATATATATATAGTAGTTTTGAGTTTCTTGAACCGTATTATATTTAATATAAAATTAATGTTTCTTGGGTTTAGGTTCAATAAAGATATGTTACATGTGGAACTAGATTTTATTTTCCATTGCAATCAATCAACGTTTCGGCAGGAAACCCTTGCCTTTGTCAAGATTCTAAAATGTGTATATATATAAGGACAAACAGATTTTAAAATTGTATTATATTTATATTTATATATATATATTAATATATGACTTACCAAAACGTAAAACGTGACACAGACATTAACGAACTGACATATAAAAGTTGATATCTGATATCTCATTGTTTACTGTCATTAGTATATAATTATTTTTATATGAGCGTATCGTTGATGTTTTCGAAAAAGGTAAGGTGGAGATATGTTATGACTTTAAGAGCTTTTTATGATGTTATATTATTATTGTTTAAATCAGATTGAAATATATTTTATTTAGGTTTTGTGTATCTTTTTTGTCATTTATTGCGTTGGTGTTTCTTTTTATTTCTATTGATTCGTATATCTCCCTCTTCTTTTTGTTTTTTTCTGTTTTTAAAATTCTGATGTTTTCAAAATCAAATTTATGCTTCTTCCCGCTTTCATGTTTTGTGAGCGCAGTGACGTTGTTCTTGTCGTATTTGTGAGAACGAATTCTGGATTGAAGCAGTTGACTGGTTTGACCGATATATGAATGCCTTCCTAAGTAATGCATATCTCGAACAATCTAATCGAAACTATTTTTCAAATCATACTACATAAATTTTATAACAATACAACTAACAACAAACCCAACAGTATCAAAACCACTTATACAACTCTTCCATATATAAAAGGTTTATCTGAACAACTAACCAATCTTTTAGCCAAACATAATATAACAGTGGCCCACAAAGGCAACAATCTCTTAAATAAATATTTCACAAAACTAAAAACACAAACTCCAAAACTTAAAAAATCACATGTTGTTTACGAGATACCATGTACAAACTGTGAAGGTGTCTATATCGGTCAAACCAGTCAACTGCTTCAATCCAGAATTCGTTCTCACAAATACGACAAGAACAACGTCACTGCGCTCACAAAACATGAAAGCGGGAAGAAGCATAAATTTGATTTTGAAAACATCAGAATTTTAAAAACAGAAAAAAACAAAAAGAAGAGGGAGATATACGAATCAATAGAAATAAAAAGAAACACCAACGCAATAAATGACAAAAAAGATACACAAAACCTAAATAAAATATATTTCAATCTGATTTAAACAATAATAATATAACATCATAAAAAGCTCTTAAAGTCATAACATATCTCCACCTTACCTTTTTCGAAAACATCAACGATACGCTCATATAAAAATAATTATATACTAATGACAGTAAACAATGAGATATCAGATATCAACTTTTATATCGTCGCTTGGCAAAATAGTGACATAACTAAAAAAACATCGTTTTGGAATAATTGCAACAGGAAAGTTATCTAAACTGTAACGATTATTAGCATATTACTAAAACATTGATATGGTGGTATGGCTAAAATACTTGATAGCTTATATTATGAACTTTAATTTGACATGTCAAAATGGGTGGCTTTAAGCAGGTATGTTTCAAAAATTAAAAAAAATTAAAAATAATTTTGACTTACGCCAATGTTCACCAAAAATTGTTCACTAAATTGCATACCCAAATTTTTCAGATAATAAATACATAACAAAGTGTCATGTAGTTTTTAATTTATGAAATAACAAAACGTAACAGTACATTGAAGAAAATAATTCAAATAAACAAAACCAGAATATGATTTAAAAAATTACAAGATAGGTATGTAACTAAAAAATCAAAACTTTATCCAATTTCATTTAACTCTAAAGAAATAGCTTTTTAAAAATGAGTATTATAAATTTGTATAAAATGAACTGTAGAATCTAGGAATGGCATTTTTTTTCTAACTAATTCCAATAATCCCTTTCTTTTTCTTTTCGCATATTGTAAATTTTTGTTTGTAAACTTTCTGTAATGACGGTTTGGCCGCATTGTTTCTTACTTGCCTTGTTCTTGTAATATCTATTTTTAACAAAATGCAAAATTATTACCGCGATTACTCTTGTGGATTTTGTAAGAATATCGGGGTAAAATCTTTGTTATGTGCCTCATTATAAATTCACGCTGCCTGTGAAGGTTCCCCATATCCCAGTAATTATTAAAAATTAATTGACGGTCTTTCTCCGAAACATTTTTTATCCAGTTAAATTTGCAAGTTTTCTTTGCACGGTTTCTTTAACTTTCTGTCTGGCATTTCCTGTTTAGTCTTGGAGTTAGGCTTATACGATTTTCCTAAATTTCTTAATCGTTTTGCTTCTGCACGTTTCCACTTAATTGGATTTGATTTTCTTTTGCGACCTTTCGTAATAGGTATTCTTGAACTAGAACTATTAGATGAAGTTGATGAACCCGATGAAGAAGATGACCCCGATGAAGAAGATGAGATGATGAACCGATGAAGAAGAGTGAAGAACTTCGAGATCTGATTTGTTGCGGGATATTGTGTAGTAAGATTCACGAATTTGGGTTTATTTTTTCTTGATCACTAGAAACCACATAATTTGGATCTTTGATACTATCGTCGGAGCACTGCGACAACTCATTATCTAAAAGAATGTCTTTCATTATTATTGTTCTCAATGGTAATGGGTGATTGCAAGACAGTTCTTTTAGGCCTTGACCTACTTGGACTCATGACTGGAGTAAGTATAGTATTAGTATCATCATTTTCCCTACTAATCTTCTAACTGACTTAGTTCTTCTAACATTTTTACCATCAGTTTACTCTCTATATGCCATATTTAAGTCTGAAAAGTAAAATAAAAGGAACATAAATGATAAAATATCAATCATGAGATAAAAATAAAATATAGCTGATCACTAATTTGCAAATCAAAAAGTTTCTGATTTTAATCTAATATTTACAACAATAATAAATATCGGCAGTAATTAATAAATTAATTACTGGCATAAATTCCTATATTTCATTGTAAATTTATCATGAATATTGACGTAGTGCGAAATATCTCATTATTTACACAAAAAACTTAAAATGTATTTAAGAATTTTATCATGAATACAGACATAAAACAAAGTGATCCACTATTTTAGTTAAGGCAATACTAGAAATTAAGTTATTTTACCTTTAATACAGTGACACTTCCAAATACACCACTATTGAGGATGACAATCACCTATATATCTCCATTTAGCACAAAATATTTTGCGATACTTGCCAGTATTCACGAAAAAATTCTAACAACTTGTTCAACTGCCCCTGGCTCCAACTAAATGTGCGTTCGCTCTACGTGATAAACTTCGAGGCAAATTCAAGTGATGGTATAACGGACATATGCGCGCTACGTGGCTAAAAGTAGAACTACGCCTTGCTGCTTTATTCACGTTAAAATATATTGGATTTTGGAACATTTTACCTATTTAACTCGATTTTAGTAATTTTTTAGTTATGTCGTTATTCATGCCAAGCAACGATATGTCAGTTCGTTAATGTCTGTGTCACGTTTTACGTTTTGGTAAGTCATATATATATATACATATTTAAAATATCTGTTTGTCCTTATATATACACACATTTTAGAATCTTGACAAAGGCAAGGGTTTCCTGCCGAAACGTTGATTGATTGCAATGGAAAATAAAATCTAGTTCCACATGTAACATATCTTTATTGAACCTAAACCCAATAAACATTAATTTTATATTATATATATATATATATATATATATATATATATATATATATATATATATATATACTAATATATAATTTGATTATATAAAAAAATCTTGTTTGAAATTTTACTAATAAGTGACAGGGGGCAACTGGACCCCGGAGGTATCTGGGCCATACCTTTTTCAATCTTAAACTGGAAGAGTATTTAAGTTTCTTACTGTTGGCCGTACTGCAAGAAATGTGCCTTCCCTCCAAAACATTAACTCTAACCTCTCTAGTACTTTTGGTTCGCTGTGAGAAGATCAATTTAAATTCGTAGTTATTGTTTATGAAATCAACATGGTGCGCTTGTGATTTACATTATTGTTTTTACGATCAAGGTAAGTGTTTATACCATGTTTTTTAGTGTAAAAGTGTTGATTAGTATACTATTAACCATGTTTAAATTAGTTTTGTATGCTCATTCCATTAGTTTTGAGGTTAGAATGGGTGGTCCAGTTACCCCGACAGCTTTACTCTTTCGGGGTAACTGGGACCCATATAGGGAGTAACTGGGCCAGGGGCTGGCCCAGTTTACCCCTCAGGGCCTATACATTTTTCTCCATTCCTTTAATTTTGAAAGCCTAGGTTATATCAGATTGTTTTTGTTGCAGAAAATGGTACGAACGTACATCAGAAAAACTCAGAAAGGTGCTGGCTTCTCATATGCCACGGAAGACCTTGATAGAGCAATTGAGGATATTAGAAATGGCATCAGGACGACACGGGGTGCATCATTATTTTACAATATTCCACGATCTACACTGAAGCATCGCGTCAAAGAAACGCGTGGGACTGGACTGACTTCAAAAGAAGGTAACGGTGGTGGAGGAGTTAAGTCATATTTGATAAAAATGATTTGGCCTATCCAGAGAGGAAGTATTAGATTAGTACACTGTATATAAGACGTTAATATCAGTTAGATTTAAAGACCAAGACCAGGTCCTGACTGGTTTGATTATTTAAAACTAGGCACCATCTGTCAATAAAGAAACCCAGGACTATTGAACATGTCAGATGCGATCAGGTGAACCCTTGGGTCATCTACAATTTTTTTGAAGTATTAAACAAAAACTATACAAGAACTAAACCTTAAGGGAAAACCAGACAAGATATTTAATTGCGACGAGACGTCATTTTGCCACGACCCTAGTAAAACAAAAAGTCGTTGGTGCAATTGGTACAAAAAGCATACGGAAGACCAGTTCGTCTGGCCCAGAAAACACATCTGTTTTGTTGTGTTGTTCTGCTGATGGTCAAATGATACCTGTCCTCTGTGTATTTAAAGGTAAATATGTAATGGACAATTGGATTAATGAGAATGCAAATCCAAAACTGCGTTTCTACAACGTCTCGAGGTTGGATGGAAACTACTTTGTTTTTTAACTGGTTTAAAGATGTTTTTTTACCTAATATCACAAAGGAGAGATTACTATAATGAAGTTACCTCCACACACGACACAGTTATTACAACCCTTAGATGTATCAGTTTTTAGAGGTCTGAAAAATAGTTGGGACAAGGCACTCAGTAAGTGGCAGAGGGAAAATCCTCGCAAAAAAATTCCTAAAGAAATATTTGTACAAATGATAACCAAGCTAGCACATGAAATACCTAGTATTAATATTATTAATGGATTTAAAGCCACAGGAATTTATGATGCCGATAAACAAGGTCCTAACAGAGATGCAATTCCTGCATCAATATTCAAAAAAGATGATTTGCTTAGGTATAAAAATAATCTTCCCGATCCACTACAGTACACTTGGAAGCTACTGCTTCTTTGGCTGCCCAACACTCAGTAACTATCCCTTCCTCTGCCACAGTACAATCAGAAGACACTAGGCCTACATCTTCAGCAGTACGACAACCAGATGCGACTCCTGTTATAGGAAATCAGGAAGACGACAATTATCCAAATGTACGGCAACAAGCATCCCATACTTCTTCAGATACGATACAATCAGATGTCTCGAACGCTTTAATCATAATAGAGCAGCCAGAAACCTCTGTCTCTACCTTTGCAATGGTCGAAAGAACAGAAGCTAGTTCTGCAAACGAAGTTCAAGTAGAAAAAGAATGCCCTGTCTGCGTCTCGCAATTGGACCTACACAAACACGTAAATCATTTGAGGAGTTGTTGTTAGAAATGATGAAAAAGGATAAAAGACCACAGAATTTAGAGAAGAAACGTAAAAGACTGGTCACTAACTGTGAAATTATCACCTGCAAAGATTACCTAATAAAAAAAGAACAAGAGGAGAAAGAAAACTGAAAAAAATTGAAAAACAAGAGGAGAAAGAAAAAATGAAAAAAAAAATTGAAAACAAAAATATGAAAAGAAAGGCAATACCGAAAGCTAAACGAAATAGACCTACACTAAACTTTTTAAAACACAAGAAAAAGAACAGTTTTGATTGTCTATCAGAAAGTAGTGATGATGTTGATTTGCAAGATATTGTAGAAGAAAATGAAAGAGATATAGATAGCGAGAAGAAATTTGAAATGTTCTGTAATAATATTGATGAGCAGACCTGTGGGGATTTTCAGCAACTAGGCCTCAAACAAATTGTTAAAAAAGTTGGTGAATATGTAATCTTTAAGTATGAAGAAGAGCATTTTCCAGGAAAGATCTTAAGCTTTACCGATGACCAGGTTGAAATTTCATCGATGCAGAAATCTTTAAAGTCATGGAATGTGGCCAGATAAAGCAGATATTGGAAAATACGATTGGGATGACGTATTGGTGCAATTGAAGAACCAAAAATTATTTCTAAAAGAGGGTTTTTTCACGTGAAAGAAATGCAGCATTTGTGGGACATTATATGAGATTATAAACGTTTCTTTACTTATCTTATTTTTTAATTTGCAGTTTTTGTTTCACGAAGAATTTTGTTTAGGAATACATTCAGATTTTAGTTTTGATTTCAGTTACCCCTGTTAATTGAGGTTACTGGACCACCGCATGTACAATTTTATTATTTATTTTATTATTACTTTAATACCTTCAATTAAATTAAGGTTTCATACATTTAAATAGTATTAAATGGAGGTCATGTTTTTATACATATAGTTAAAATTCACTTATACTTTGATCATATAAGTAGCTAAAAAATCTGAGCCGAACGCAGATTTGTTGTAAAATCATGGTCCAATTACCCAACTCACCCTATTTTATTTAACTTTTATTGGAAGAGTGTAAGTGGAGCGTTGACTTTGGGATGAGAATATTCTGAATACCTTTTGGTTGCTCTATCTTGTTGTTATTTTTTTAAGAAGTAAACAAAAAATTATGGATAAATCCTCGTACAGCGAAGTTCCTAATCTTTTTGCTATTCTAAACTATTAGAATGTTGGTACACGGCCTTTTACCGCTCTGTGTGTAGTATATGTGTGTGTTTGTTGTGTGAGCTGGGTGGGGACGCATATCAAGCTTAGCTAGCAAACAAGTGGGGCTACGAGTTGTGCACTATGCCCCAACCACATCCAAAACAAATCAAGACTGTCAGTTGTTTTGTTATCGTCGCGCGGCGTGTCTCTGCGACCGGTCATGTGGCATCTGGCCATGCCACGGCGATAGTCTGCAATTTTTAGACTATGGATTAGGAAGCATTTTAAGACATTTTTTCTTTTTAGTTGTTTTTTATGCCAGTTATTGAGCCAGTTTTAGAATTAGTTTTATTTTTCGTTTTTGGATTATTACCGCACGTTTGAAGGTTGGTAAATCTAAT